GCTATCCCTCCACACGTTGCCAAGAAGCTTTGCGGTCGTTCTTTGAACCCAGTTTTCCCTTCGTTTAGAGCATGACAAACTGACTACAGAAGGTAGAAGTTTGACCTTTAGTGGTCTTGTCGTTTATTAATATGTTAAGTTTGAGTTCGAGTGCGACTGGTATGACGCTTTTCAAAGTGTTCTCTAGAGCATGTACAACGAAACAACAACGCAATGAGAGCTTTTTTGTATTGGCGAATTCGTAAAGGATAGATCAATGCATTAATAAAAGAATTACTAAACTGTAAGTACTTTACGATATGAAACACGATATAAGGCCATCTTTGACAGACCGAGCAAAAGGGAAAAGCGAAGTTGATAATGAAAAATGGCAGCCATGTTATCATAAATGCACCTGTAATAATCAACAATGTCTTTGTTAATCGATCATTGCGAGCATCCCTTTGTGCAAGCTCAAGGCGAGTCTTCCTTCGTCCACTATATATCAAAAAGTAAGCAGTGAAAATGACCAGAGAGGGAGCTGAAAGAAACACAATCATAATCACCGTCAAAGTCATCGCTGCAATAATATTAAATCGCTTCATAAGTCGAAATGAGGTGGCAAGTGCCGCTAAAACCCATGGGATGCCAACAACGGATATGTAGAATCGTGACGTCACTGCACGATGACGTAGAGGCCATAAAACAGAATGCATCCTTTCCAAAGAAATGCTTGCCAGGGTGAATACCGATAACAGACCGGTGAATATATCCACGCACTGGAAGAAAACTACCAAAAGTTTTTGATCTGTTTGAAAACCGGCGACAACAACGTACAGTGGTACTGCTAAAGCTCCGACCATTAGATCCGCGATGGCCAAACTTATAAGCGAGAAATGCGAGCGTTTGCGAAGTTTCTGTTTTAGAAACACTACAATGGTGACTAGGTTGGCTATGGTAATCACTAACGCAGTTGAGCCAAAAACCACCGTCCATAAATTGTTCCAGTATTTAGCGAATGCCATTAGGAGTCAAAAGTTTCTGAAAAATAAATGATTGGTAAATTGAAAGCCTTTCACAGATGATACCATCATTGAGGAAATATAGAGTACGCGAACAATTCCCAACAGGGGGAATAATATGAATAGACAAGGAAAATGAAAAAAAAAATGTTTGCTGGTGTTTTCTGTGTATTTTAGTGATTTTCCGCGCGATTTGAGGGGTTTAATATCATCGAGCCTTATAATTACACTGTGTACAGTGGACTCACCGTTAGGCCTATTATTGCACGGTTCCTTACATATATATGAAGTCGAAAAATGACTTTACTTTAATTAACCTTCATGTACATGTGCAGCCATATCAGAAATGTTTGTCGCCAGCCACCAAAGCTTTTGTAAACTTCATTTAGGGATGAGCTGCCAGTTATATCTTAACCGGGCCAATAAACAGTGAGATTTGCTATGATACCAGTATCAAACAAATTCAAAGTTACAAATAGCTGACTGGTTATATTTTCATGCGATAATTCACGTCTTTGTAGGTTTTACCGCGGGAACGTATTCTGCTGTTTAGCTTGTTGTTAAGGTTTAACCGGTTTTGTTGTTGTTTTTACTGATGTTTTTTTTTTTTTTTAACTTAATGGTTATTTTTGTCACTTCGCCTACCTTGCAGTGGTGGAACTTATACGGCGGATTCAATTCTAGTTCCTTCATTCATGAAAAAGATTTGGGAAGCTACAAGCTGATCAGAGTTTTCTTGATGCATTACCATTATCAATGTCATAAGTATCGCCATTATCTTGTCTCAACCGTGTCACATGTTGAAAACTTGCATTAGTCTCATCCTTATTTCAGCGATTATCGAAAAGTAAATATTATACGATCGAGCCCGGTGGTAAAATTGTATCCTTTAGATCAATCATTTCCTGTTTTAATATTGCCGTTTGCTGATGAGAAACTTCTGACGTATCATAGCTAACAATAACATGCTGTTTTACCTTCTTCAGCATTCTGGGATTATGGGGTCTCGTTAAAAAGTAGTGTAGGGTACCTAAAACTCCGCTGCCCATTTTAAGGTTTGTTTCTCTATTTGTTGGAGATAGAAAGATATTCAACAATTATTCCACGAGTTCGCGTAGCGCCGAGTTGCCTATAATCATCTCATATCCAACAAGCGCGAGTAGAATTATTGTTTTATTAAAAACGCCCACAAAATATCGAGAATTCTTTTCGACTTTATTTGTAAAAACAACCGATTTTCAGCTTGTTTTTGATTTTTAGCAGAGGCGTACAGTTACCATATTTGGAGAGCCTGGTATAATGGCATACATATTATGATGGCTAAGCCAATCAGAGCTCTAGAATTGCATTATCCAATGATTCAGTTTTGAATAAACCCTACTAGCGTGAGGCACGTTCTTAACATATGCCAGCGGGTGTCTATTAGCTTTCACGCGGAGTGCATTAAAGTTGGTAGAAGTTAGACTATTACAAATAGATTAAAAAACAACTACGCAATTTCCAGTTAAGCAGATGTCTTCACTAATTGTTCCTTGGTGCAGATGGTACTTTAGACTAAATAGAAGACTATAAATTATAAGCCATATAGAACAAAATGTTTATGGAACTTAAAAGGGCTGTTTTTTAAAACTGCGATAAATACTAAAGCGCATTTTTCACTGAAAACGTCAGGGGAGGTGGCGTGTTTGCAGGATTATATTTCTGCGCGCAGATGGAATTGTTTAGTTATCGTACTCGCGTATCATCACGTATGATTTTAACTTTCATACTTTTGAATGATATGTAAATATGTAGAGGAATAGACAGTTCACTGGCCCATAATTTTGGCTTGACAAGTGAGGTTACGTTGATCGCCGTAATCTGTTGCAATAACATCAAGCAGTCTGCGAAGGAAAAACAACCAAACCGAACAAAATAGGTCCACTAAATACAATGAAAGATATTATTCATTGTGGTTTATGTATGGTGGCTTTGTTTATCGCTTGCTTTGGTAGTCACTTTGTTATGGTTAGCGACCGGTATGGTCCTCGCTCGCTGCCGGTCCTCATCGGATGACGATGCGCGCCGACTTACTAGGAGACAAGACTAGTCGCATTTTGCTTCGCCTCGTGTAAGGGAATCCGGGTTCCGGATTTTCGGGAAATTTTTGTCTGTGGAATACGGAAAGCTGGGCTTTGGAATGCGGGATACAGCTCTAGGAATCCGGAATCTAAGTTCCTCTGACAAAGACCCGGAATCCACGGCGTGTAATCTAGAATCCAAGACCCGGGGGGTACTTCCTTATATGACCTATACGTGGATGTGTCGCTGGACAGGGTATAGTTTTCGTCCTCTCTGTCCTTAGCAGGGTATATGATTTTGCGCCAGTCTGTCCTAAACAGAGTATGTATTTTAGGAATTTTCTTGTCCTAAACAGGGTCAAGGTTTCAAACCCTCAGTGGCTCACCTCTACCCAAATATTGGTCGAGTACCCCCCGGGATACAAGACTGTTTCTTGGATTGCCTTACATTGTGCGATTTGGTTAGTCAGGTGGTGATTGGTCACTGATGCATTTTGAACCTCACTCATGGCTGGTGGATCGTTTTTCTTTCTTTCTTTCTTTCTTTCTTTCTTTCTTTCTTTCTTTCTTTCTTTCTTTCTTTCTCTCTTTCTCTCTTTCTCTCTCCCTTTCTTTCTCTCTCTCTCCCTCTCTCCTCTCTCCCTCTCCCTCCCTCCCCTTTCTTTCTTTCTTTCTTTCTTTCTTTCTTTCTTTCTTTCTCTCTTTTCTTTCATGTTCTATTCTTTCTTTGTTTTTGTTTTCGGTTTGTGTAACTTATTCATGAATTAAACGAAACACATTAATGAGCTTCTTTTATGGGATTAGAGATTAAAAAAAACGTGAAAAAAGAGATCTTAGTTGAGAGCCCCATGGGAAGCTGATCGGGACGGATCTTCTTTAATCCCTTTTCTATTTGGTAACCACACGGACCCAAATTTCTCTTTGTAAACACGAAGAAAAGTTGTTCCTCTTTCTAGGACCTTCCTGGTGCTAAGATCTTCTTCCCTCCTTCTAAGTTAACCCAGACCCGTCTACGTTTTTTTTTAAACTGTGAAAGATGCTCCTGAAATAGCTTGAAATCTCCAGGAGGATGTCGTCTTATTTAAGTAGCAAAAAGTTACAAAACATCCACTTTCACTGAAAGTGTGTCCTTGAAGAAAAGGAGGGCATATCAACCATCAGTTCCTAAACACTGGCAACTAATAGAGAACCAACCTTTTCTTAGACAGATCTACAACAAACCTCCAGGAAGGTCTCTGAAGGATATACTCGTAAAAGCCAAACTCTGATAATTAAAAGCTGTAAAGACGTGAGTGGAAGGCGTGAGTCAGTCGTGTCAACCCCTTATGATATTTCTGCAAGCATGTTATTCTCAGAATTTCATTGATAGATCAGTGAGGATTAACATATTGAAAGGCTTGATTGCTACTTTCAATGTCTTGTTGCACCATTGCATCATTTTGTTAGGCTGCTAAGATTGGTCACTTGTCTATCAATCATGGCTGTTAGTTTGACATTTGGAACTGACGCAATGAAGTGTTCATGTCTACGGGAATGAAAAAGGGCATCAAATACAGCCAAGATCAGTTGAGCATGATGCCACTTTTCGAGCATGACTTTAAGCATAATGCTGTTGTTTTGAGAGGGTGACGCTCATCTAACCCACTGGGTAGAGTGAGAGAAAGTGGTCAAAACCCCACAAAGTTCATGCTAAAGCGCGACAAGCGCGCAAGTCGCAAGGCAGAGTTGGGGAGGTATCTGAGTGCTATAGATTGGCCTCCACTGTTTTCCTCTCTCGACTGCTTTGAAGATATGCTGAATGCGTTCTACAAAGCACTACGCACAGGACTCGATCTTCTCATGCCCGTTAAGAAGGTGCGTGTGAACACATCTGACGTTCCATGGATGACCAAGCACCTGAAATCGCTCACACTTAAAAGGCAGAAGGCCTTTCACGGACATGGTATTAATTAAATCAGCTCAGTACAAGTTCTACCGTAAAGCAGTCAACCGTGAGCGAAAATCATGTAAAGCTGTCTTCTATGAAACCAAGGTACAAAGCATGAAAGAAGAAAATCCGAAGGCATGCTGGAGAGAAGTTAAACGTTTGTCCGGTGCACGCTCGCATTCTGTGGCCTTATGTAACCATATTCATGCGGAGGGTGCTGAAGAGCTATCTCCACAGGATCTGGCGAACGTTATCAATGAAGCGTTACTAGAATCAATGGAAGAAAATCGTCTGTCCCGCCCACTGGCCCAAATCCTCCTAGAAGGGGACTCAGCTCACCTCCCGGTGGTATCGGGTTGCGCATTGCGAGACTCTTAGCAAAATTAAATCCGTCTAAGGCGTGTGGACCAGATGAAATACCCAATTGGCTACTGCGGGAGTATTCCGGAACTTCTCGCTTATCCTGTATGCAGTATAATTAAGGCGTCCTTCCAAGAACAGCGCCTTTCTACCATCTAGAAGTACGCTGATATATCCCCACTACCCGAGAAAAAGAAGGTTGAGGATTTGAAAAAAGATCTGAGACCAATCTCTCTTACCGCCTGTTCAGTTTATAATCGAACGTCGCTGAGGATTGCGTCGTTCACGATTACATAACGCCTGCTGTTCTCAAGGTCCTGGACCCGAATCAGTATCGTGCGATACCTCATTCGTCCACCACACGGGCCCTCATACACATGGTCCACAGCTGGGCTCAAGCGACAGACGGAAATAGCGCTACAATCAGGACTGTGCTATTCGATTATCGAAAAGCATTTGATCTAATTGACCACAGGATACTTGTTGATAAATTATGTAAATTAGTTCTACCAACCAGGATGATCAACTGGATAATTGATTTTCTGTCCGGGCGTTCTCAGCGGATTAAGCTAGCTGAGTGTTTATTTCGATATTATCACCGCCGATGGAAAAATGTGAAGTCTGTTTTAAGTTTCTCAGTTATGTAGTAGGTACCCTTTTAACTATTCTAACCTTTTATTCTTTGACTGTTCTTTTGGACATTCTTTAGACATAATACCTAGTATTTTCTATTGAATGAATAGGTTTTTTACAGATTAAGGAAATGAAGTGATTGTCGCAAAGTGAAGCTCTCCCTTTTATAAGTATATCACCTGATATTTGAAGAAAAGCATAATCGGGTACCCAAATGTCAAATTCCGAATTTTTTTCTAGTGCATGTGATCATTTTACCGCTTTTTTCAAGTGACCTAATTTACTAACTAAGAGTGTTTTGATTGAGAAATTTACTTATTCATTATTTACTCACCCTCCTGACGCTAAATGAGCCTATTTCATCTGATATGGAAACTCGTTTTGGGACCTCAAAGCCATGAATAGACGAGATCAGCACAACGCCTCAGACACTACGTGCAAGATTTGTAGGGCTGGTCATATTTATATTTTGTTTTAAGAATAACAATAAAAAGTCAATAATTCTACGAACAGAACTATTTTACCAGACTAGAGTCATTTCCTGAACGTAATTCCTGAATACAAGGTGTCAAGTAAGTTTCTGAAATTATTTATTTTTAGAATTTAGTCTAGAACTAGAACTTCAATAGAAAGTTGAAAGTTTTTTTCTCTTAGTAATTCAGTCCAGCCAAGAGAGGATAAAGGGGACAGAGAAGGCATCCCCCATACACACCCTCTTCCATGGGTAATTCGTCTCGAGTTATTTTTAGAATCGGGATAAAGTTACATCGCGCGCTGCGTGGATGTTTCGTGGAGGTTTCGCATGACTAAACGCCGTGCGAAACATGTCGGGCGAAAGGTAGTGAAAGCGTAAAGAGATCGAGAGCATTTATGAATATTGAAGCGAAATGAGTCTGCCCTCACCTGGGAAAAGGGAATCGCTGGACTCTTTGACAACCCGTGAAATCAGTTTAACTCGAAGTTGTCGTAACCTCAGTGCTTTAACAAAATGAGAAATTTCGCCGGTCTATTGAAACCGGTCGTTTGTACAATAAAGCAAGTAGGACGCCAAGTGTTATTTTTGTTGAATAATAAAAGACTAATAAAAGAATTTATATCAAACCAGAAATTGCTCTCTTCAAACTTTGAATTATAAATGATCCTAAGAGAATATTCAGTGTGTTAAGGATTTCCCTGCTGTACTGTTAGCTCTATACTAGAGAGGAAGGGGGATTGTTTTTTAATTTCCGTTTCGCTGACACAACTTTAGCAGAAATCTCTCTTTAGTCATTTTCGTCGACAAAACAAATAGCAATATCGCTCCCCGCGTCTTCCGCCATTTTTTTCTTCGTCAATTCGTGAAGGACGCGTGGCTCTGAGCGTGGGTCATCCACGCGGAACACATTCGCGCTATGTGATTGGCTGTTGTCTAATCCCCCTTGGGATCTATGGTCTTAAAAATAACTCGAGACGAATTACCTATAGAATAGGGTGTGTATGGCGGATGCCTTCTCTCCCCTTTATCCTTTCTTGGTATCACATTAATTGAAATGTCTAAGATGTCACATAAGTTGACTACAGTTTGTTGTCCAGTATCCGGACACTTCAGCTTAAGATTGCAATAACTTTCCTTTGTTAATCGCAAGAGCTCTGAAATTTGGCTCAGAGAAATTCTATTTAGTCCTTAATACGACGAAAGACAGTTTAACTTTTTTTCCTTTGATTCCATCGCGAAATTAATATTTTTGCAGAGCTCCTATGTTGCCCAGTATCCGGACACAACAATAACAACGTAATTGTACATAAATTTCGACAGGCAAGCGACTTATAAGCTTCTCTTGCACTTGCAAAGTAGTCTGGCAATCGATTCCAAAAATATAACCTTAAGCATCGTGAAATAAAACATAACAAATGACTGGGGTATGGTGGGGAACGCGAGCGGCTGTTTTAATAATGGTATAATTCTCACTTCCTTGTCTAGGAACGTTTTCACTGATTTAAGGAAGGCGTCCGTGGACATGCCGAAGCCGCAGTTTGCTAGCTCAATTAGCCAATCTGCAAACGACTTTTTTTTCTTCATTTAAAAAAAAAAAAAAGAGCCTCAATCCGACGGTGCAGTGTTGATTTCTTCATGCTCAGTCCCCACAATAAGCCTGCTTTTCTAGCACTAATTCCTCCTTCTTTCACATCTCTCAATCCCTTTGTGACATTTTTCAGACCGTTGCAACCCCATTCTAGCAGTCATAACTGGGGAAAGTATGAGAATTCCAGGTTCAACTCAGACGCTTTCGGTTATACGTAGAAAATGCAGTCACGCGAAACAAGCCGTGCACACGAAATCAAGTCGCCTCTGAATGAGTGAAGAAAATTTCCATACGGAGTTGAGTAGAATTACATTTTACGACTTTATCATATATGCTAAGCTTTAATTATAGTTACTGATATGAAATAAATCTTATCCAGATCATGTACGCAGCTAATTCACCGATTTTGTACAGCAAAGAAAAAACTGTCCGGATACTGGGCACATGACATCAATACTTAGTGAATGTTTCTGACCTCCGTTATTCCAAACAAATCGAATTTCAAGAAGAATTAATAAACTTTCTGAAAACCTGACTTCCTTAAGTATCTTCACTTTAAAAATAAAACAGTTTCTTTGAAAATATCACACATTACCCTCCCTTTTCTGAGGAGCACTAATTTTACTGCGCAGTAAACAGCGTAAGAGCCATGAAAAGTTTACTCACCTGAACAGAACGGCGTCTTCTGCGACTGTTTCGCAAGCTTTCAAATCGCCAAAACTTTCACCTCAAAGCTGAAATGCTCAGCTTTCATTCGAAATACTTTTATCGAGAACTGAAAAGGGCGCCTCAAAAACTGAGTTTTTGTTTCAAGTGTCCGGATACTGGGCAACATACTGTATATGATGTCGATTTTTCGTTGAAACGCCGGGAATAGTTTCTATTGTCCAAAACAGTTGCTTGACTTTGATATGCTCAAAGTTTAGTTGCTAAAGATTAGGAAGGACTCGGCTGCTTTCAAGCACTCGGAAATTACTAAAGTCAAACGCCTTCTTTTTTAACAGGAACAAGCAGCAAGAAGGTAATAATTATAACTTAAAGTTAAGGCTAACAGCCCAGAGCCGGAATATAGCTAGTTTTACTTGACAACTAAATAGTGTTTTAGAGCGGTTTTCACTTGACTGTCGAAAGGGATTGGTTTTGGCTTTGGTTTGGTTTTACTACGCCCTTTGATTGGCTAGTGTATTTACTTTGGTTTTGGTTTTACGACAGTCAAGTGAAAACCGCTCTAGAAATCATGAATTCACTAAAACATTATTAAAACATACAACAGACCTCAGTCCAAGAAACAACAGAATCTTATCAAACTTCTAGTACTAGGGCTCTCGTCCTATATCTCCGTCCTACTGTCCGCGGGGAAGTGTGGTTTACTGAGAATAGTATGAATGTCTTTTCTGTGTTTCTAATTTTGCAGAAACTTCCATTAAGATATGATCACTGCTGGTGGCAAGGAGAAAATTCTCTGATAAAGTTTCTTAATTATGCAAGCACCCTTTAAAAGAAGTTAACTACACAGTGATTTTTCATTCACGAGTTTATATTCTTGTTTCCGTAGAAAAAGCAATATCCTTATGGATAATGAAGCGATTGTCTCAGAGTGAAGCTGTCCCTTCCGCTATTTATGTGTAATACGCTTTTGCCGAGGCATTTGAGAAGAATTTTTAATTCCTTTCATGACCACTTAAGCGATTTTATTGATAGACCATCATTAATATTTTCAATTTATTCAAGTTAATCACGAAATTCCCCAAACTGAAAACGACGGCTACTTATTTTTCCAGTTAATTCTACAAACTCAAAGAAAGGTTTTTCATGAAAAAGCTTGAATGAGTGTTTGCATTTCATGCCAGCGTCCGCAGAGGTGAACAAAACGGGGTTATTATAGCAGGCGTTCCCTTCCTTCTCTCCCCAATCCCCTCTCCTTTTTTCCTCCCTCCTTCTTTTCTTTCTTACCCCCCCCCCACCACCGGGAGTAAGTTCCAACGAGAACTAAAGTGGGGACATTCTAAACAGGAACGTCTCTTCGAAGTTCGTTTAAAATGTCTTGAGGACGAACATTCTGCGAGCGTGCTTTGAACAGGTGGTGGAGGTTTGGCCATGACGCGTGTACGACGGAGCTGAGGAAAGTTGACCGCCCTCTGAGATGTTAGGAAGAATGGTGGTAATCTATACAATGCTAGGAATTATGGGATATCTATTGTTATTAAAATATTCTTGCTTTATTTCCGGTACTGAGGATAATATTTTATTTCGGTTGCTAATCTTCTGTATTAAAATAACTTCGAAACAAATAAGCGCTCTTCCAAAGTGATAATAATTATG